GGTGTGCCCCGATGAAGCCCGCGGCTGTGGGGCGGATTGCTGAGGCCGCTGGCGCTTCGGGGATAAACATCACAGACAGCACCGAAATTCACCCAGCTTTCGTTACCATTTGCCCGCACGGGCATTCCGACTTGCGGTCTGCCGCACTGTCCATGCTGCATGCACCCAGGATGGATGCAATTCGCGTCGAGCCCGCAGGCGGTGCTGACGATTCCGCCGGTGCAAGCTTAGCTCTCACACCATCACCACTGCTCCAACAAAGCACATCTCCCACCGCGTTGACACTACCCATCAATTGTCACACGTGCCGCGCTAGCTACCGGCCTGTACGGATGCAGGGGGGGCCCGCCCTTTTTCCGGCTTCGAGGAAGCCGACACCCGACTTGTCGTTCTCTCAGAACCGACACGCGCTACTCATTTGTTTGTCGCCGATTGCCGCTCTGCTGCTTCTCAACCTTAGTTGCGCCTTTGTGTATGAATTTCGTGTATGGCATGCACTGGCCCTGCAAGGCGCTTCTCGGATGGCAAGATGACCTCTACATGCATATTTTGTTAGTTGGTTGCGGGGCTAACACCTTTCAACATGGAATTTCAGGGTTTTAGAGTTTCAAGAACGCAATCCCTCTTTCATCTTCCTGCTAAGGTGCAAAAGCATCAATTGCTTCTGTCCAACTCGCGATTTCCCTCTCAACCATCTTGGCTGCCGCAGTTATCGTTCTTCCCTCAGACTGCTGGGAGTGGGCCCCAACCAGTGTTTTTTTTAAGTAATATATTCCTTTTAAGGGATAAAGAGGCCATTTTGGCCTTTGGAAAAAAGGAACAAATTGAGGCCGATCCGTACATTTTCATTCCTCCAGCCAAAAACGTCCATTGCTGCCAGATTGCTCCGTAGTGCGCAGAACTTTAGTATTTGCAATTATAGAATAGATACGAGGGGCCGTAAGAAGGTCACGCCCGTGAGTCAACGCGGCATAGCAGAATGTATGACCGGTCCTTACATAGCCAAACACGCAAAAGGCAACGACTTGAACGCCGAACAAACACCAAAACAGCAAGATAAGCCTGAATTTTTTTCCTGATAAATGCGTTTGGGACGGCGGTGCTGTTGTCGGTAATGCATCGGCAATGGTGTTGCTGCCAGCGGCGACCGATGACACGGGCGCCATTACCCCTGCCTTCCATGGCGGTTGTGATCAGCATAAGCGCAAGCTGTTACCCAATCAGCTCGACAACAACGAATGCGGCGAGGCGCCCAACCCGAGCGCTCGCAGTGCCAAGCGGGCTCAGACACAGCGCATTTACGCGGATTTACTTATTGCTCACAAACAGTGCCAGAACTATCTATGCATGTGCATGAAGAGTGCGCACATGAACGAAAACGCGCCAACGCAGTGCGTGCCTCTTGGTCTATGAGGGGAGTTGTAACTTATCAGGGGGGGTCTGGGGGGGGTGTAGCCCCCCCCAGCGCCCCACTCTTAAGGAATACATTACGGCGACGCTAGCAACTTTGTTACTTAGGTTGGAATAAATTGAGACCCCCCCTAAATGAAAAAAAAATCACTGGCCCCAACCCTTTTCTGTCGGTGTGACCCGCCGTGCGGCATCCTCCGCAGGTCGCTCTTCTTATCTTGCCAGCTGCGTGGCTCTCCATCTACAGGGCGGCCCCAGCGGCTAGTCGCTAGGAGCTCGGTTGGTCAGCTGTTGCCAAGACCCCGAGAGCCATGAGTAGGAGACAGCCGCTGACGGTGGCCAAGATGGCGAGGGAAGTCCTGGGCACGGCCCGCCGTCGCCGTACAGCGGTCGCCTTTCCAAGCGCCGCGGGTGCACTGATTTCCGTGGCTCTGCTAATGCTGCTGGTGCTCCTGAATGCGGTACCTATGGCTGCAAAGGTGCTACCACCGCCGCCAACATCTCCACTGCCTCCTCCTCCCAACACCACCGTCAAATAAGAAGTTGCCACCACCACCACCGCAATTACTGGCGGCAAAGGACAGCGGATTAATGCACCAGGCAGTCCCATCTCTGTCAGGTACTATACCCAGACCTGTGTATGTCTTATGTATTTTGTGTAGTAAGGACATCATGTCTCATCGTAATCCAATGCAGCAATTAAATGCATGTGAAGCAACGATTTCCAACCTGGCCCTGCCTGCCCCAGCACTACAGTATTTGAATCCGGTGGCAACCGGGCTATGGGGCCGAGAACTCCAACTCCGGAGATGGGATCCCCTGCGCCAAGGAGTACCGAGGGCTATAGCGCTACCCTCGTTTGCAAATATCTCATGGTCTATATGACGTGTACTTGTATAATAGATTGGGAAGGCCCCTATCTATTCTACCAGGACGCAAAGGACATCAAGGATTTAGAGACGCATCCTCATCAGCCGTTTTAATAGCACGTACATGCAAACAATGCATGACTTACTCCTCTTAGCTAGCTTGTCATTATTAGATCAATCCTCATCAACTTGTATACATCCACGACCTGTCGCAATCTATCCGCAACCCCGCCCACCCTACCTGGGGAGACAGGCTTATCGGACAGCGCCACATCAGGTGCCGAGGTTTATGGCAACATGACCCTAAGTGTGGACTGTGGCTTGATCGACAGCCTGGGTACCAACCTCGCCATCGACCTCAGGGCGGAGCTGGCCAGTGCCTTCGGGGTGCGTGGCATCATGCGGGCCGTGTATGTGTGTGCTCTTAAGTTGATGAGCAATATGCGCCCCTTGGATAATTCGGCGATGCCTATAGGGATTGGCATCAGCTTTTGATGTGCCAGCCAAATGTTCTACACACCTCCTTACTATCTTTGCTATCTATTTCGTGGCTCTTATCTGTGAACAAGATCTGCCTGTCCGCCATGAGTGAACCCTATTTGCAAAGGCTTCATTTTTGTCCATGCTGATCACGCACAAATAAACCAGCAGTGTATAGATAGGACGTAAGGTCAGCTGCATATGCGTATGTAATGTAGGGGGCCACACGCACCATACATGCATATATACGTCTGTACCATATTGTACCATATTGGTGGTCTATAGGTCGTGCCCTGGTACATAGACAGTACATCTACAGGAATACACAAAGACCATAAGACAATTTACAATGTATGCAGGCCCCATGCGGGGAGGCAGGAGCTGCTGCTGGCCAAGAAATTTCTTTCCATTCCCGGCCATTTGCGCACGTGCCCCCTCCTGGTATGGCTCGTAAATTCATGTCCATGCATACGTGTGCTACATGCGCAGGTGTCCATCGACAACACCTCCATCACCAATCTCGGTTGTGGCGACTCGTCAGTTACTGCCTCCTACATGGTTCAGGTTCAAGCAAACAACTTCGATAATGCTGCTTATGCTACAGCGGTGAGCAAGCACATGCATTATGTATGTATTATAGAAAAAAATTGCCTACCAGCGATAGTTTTGTCCATAACAGTGTCTGTTCTTCCTGAACGTGGGTGTTAACACCGTGGTGGTTAACTGCTCAGGGAAAGTCACTGGCACAATGATACTTGAGTGTCTGGCCGAAGCACCTCATGAGGTGATCACCAGGGTACATTATATGCGGCCCACCTACCGCTATCTCCATTCCTGGAGTCGTGATCTGGTATGATGATCGTACCATCTTGATACGATTATCGTAATGGAAGACGATCTGTACAGTTTGCTAGTGTGGTTCATAGTTTCTAAATCGCGGCTGTAGTAGCTGGCAGCTGTAAAAGCCTCTCGAGATGCTGGTGGAGCGCTTTTCACGTATTCGTACACGTTATATGTGCCGTACTGTGTACCAGCTACAACATTCCCCCCTTTTGAAGGGATCCGTCTCGGGTCCTTACGGCCACGTACGTATACCACCAGCCTGCGCCTACCTTCGCCTACCCCCGGGCAGTGGGTGATCAATCCACGTCACATCATGTGCCGCCCTCACATGCGCCTAGCCTTCCTTAGAGACTTTCAAGTACAGAGACATTCCAGTCAATCACAGCTACTTATTGACTCAATTTGGCGTGAAACAGACGACTTCAGCCTCGTACACATGTACGAGGTCTCGATACGAATTGTGTTAGCTGGCCGCTGAAAAGGCCTCTCGAGATGGTGGTGGAGGCTTAGCGCATATTTGTACATGCTATTTGCATGTGATCAAGCTTTAATAGCTAATTACAATCAAAGGTAAATGTAGCTGTACTACATGTGCCTGTACAGGTCCTCTTTCCTATCAATCAAGGATTGCATGTATCCCTCCAGATCCCGGGATCTGGATGATGTCCCATGCTATATAGTTCCCGGTGTCGGGCCCGACACCCGGAACTATATAGCATGGGACATCATCGGTCACACCACAGTCGTTAATTAATGTACGTAGTTAACAATCCTCAGAGCAGTGACTGGATCCGCCTGATGATCGGCCTGCCCCATCATTTAGTAACCGCTCAAAATAAATGCATCACTCCAACGTTGGAGTGGGTTAACCCACACCACCTTTAATGGGGCAGGGGTCTTAATGGTCTCTCCTAGCTGCTTCCATAGCAGCTTCGGGTTGTCCCTATACTTCTTCACGATGTCGAAAAATACAGCCAGATTTCGGCGCGGCCCTGGCGAGGCCAGATTGTAGGAAACCAGATCGTATGTAGGTGGCTCCAGCAGATCGCAGGCTACCCTGAATATACAATTTGCATGTCCTTGTACGCATTCGTTCACAGATCACCGATGCTGCAGCCGCCACCGCCAGTAGCCTCAGCTCACACATCAGCAGCGACTTCACGTCCCAGTGGGGAGCTGTTACCGCATCACATCTGGAGGGCATTATTGTAAACCCCCCTGCCACACAGCAGCAGCAGGAACAGAAGGAGCAATCGCAGCAGCAGGAGCAGCCCGAATCTTCAGGTATGTAGCAAGGTAGAATAAATCCAGGCAAAAGGCTTGGCTGAAATTGGTCTCGGGGACCTGAGCCGTGATAAAACTTTTTAGGTGGGCTGGCATGTATGGCTGAAGTTGCAATTAGCCATCAGTGTTTATGGCCGATATCCGGATATGTACAGGCGGATCCGCCTGTACAGGTGCATGTGGCCACTACATGTACCGCTGTGTTGCCAGTCTTCCCAAGCCTTCACTTGGCATGTTCTATGTGGCCGAACCAATAGGCTACTCAAAGCGCATAACGCGGTCTCGTGCATCTAGCTGTGGCACTTACACTGGGCTTGGATTCGACCTCAGCTGAATTCAGCCGAAGAGCCGGGCTATCCAAGCTATAGCTACCTGGCCTGCCGACCATGCTTGCCCTGCGACTGTAACACAGCAAAGGTGTAACTCGGGATGCTCAGATAGGCCTTGCGTCATTACAGCGACTCATCAGCATTGAACCTGTCTGCAGGCCGCAATTGCGGCTTCGGGATTTAAAGTACTATATAACTATATGAGACCATGCATGCGGCAGCCACGAGTGCACTTGCATTATTGTGACTTTCGACTGCACAGTCAAGTGCAGGCATGCCTATGGATGTGTGTGTATATAGACATGTATACATGTATATACACGTATACACATATATATGATGTCATATTTGGTTGGTATTTACTAAATGCTGCTATGAAATGCTACTCCATACATACATGTATGTATGTGTACACACATGTGTGCCAATTGTTGCAACTTGCTTACCAGTTGACCCATTCTTTGCTAACAGGTTCACCGCTGGTGGTGGCGGTGTCACCCGGAGGCGGCAATAGCAAGTCCTCCAAGCCAAATACGACAGTTATCATTTCTGCGATAGCGGGTTCTGTGGCGGGAGTTGCGGTCCTGGTCGCATTGGTCGCCCTTAAGGTGGCCCGTGCCAGGCGTCTGAGAAGGGCAGTGCCAATTATTGGCCCACCAACACCTGCTGGCCATCGCAATTCCTGGATGTAGGCTGGTGTACTTCCCTTCATTCCATCTATTGCTCGTGCATACTATCCATGCACATGCTGTTCCAGCTAGCACTAGCTGGAACACGTTCCGTACGGTGAGCTAGTTGCTATACCCAGTGGCCACTGTTCCTGTGGATGATCATGAGTAAATTTGAAGTTGGTGTATGTACACATGCATATGCGCATGTGGTGACAGATATCATGTTCATCATCCGTGGCTTCAGAAAACAAAATCATACACAGACGCCTAGGTGGATGAAAACAATGGCTTACAGGATGACTTGCAAGGATGATCCTGCACACTTTTGCAGTAGAGTTGAACATCTTAAGCAAGTTCAGTGGATGGAACAGAGGACCCTGCATGATGAGCATGCAAAAATTGTTGCCAAACACTTCGGTGAGCATGCATAACTGTGTTCACTCGTGCTCTCACTCGACAGCTGCTGCAATCGAGCCCCCCGTGTTGCATGGGTCAATCGACATGGTGGATGTCCATGCATACACAACCAGCAGCGTGACTAACCTGAAGATGGATATATATATAGGAATATTTGTTCAGGAAATTGATTGCTATTATTTGTTTGCTCGGAAACTTCATGATCATGTCCACGACCGAAGACCTGCCTGGATCCATATGCACACTGTTTGCTAGACTCTTGCAGCGGCCACAGGGTGCAGCAGTGGCAGGTGAATAGCGCATTCTCACTTCTGGGCATTACTGACATCACGGATTTCTTTGTTTCCATTCCTGCATTTATGTAATGTAGGCAGCATCCTAGCTTTCGTGGCAATCTTGGTGCCCTTCATCTGCACCTCTCACCCTCTGTCTGCTACACCTATTGGTGCTGGGTGCGTGGTTCGCCTTTTCCCCCCAGTGTTTCTCCATGTTTATATTATGATACATGGGATTAAATCAGGGCCTAGGATTCTGTGCCACGCGTCGCACTCCTGGCAGGACGAGTGGCCCCGAATCCTCCTCTCCCCATTTCAATTTTGTTGCTGTTCTGGTGTGTATATACATGATATATATGCATGACTTTGGTCGGCACTGCGACGAACCAGAATCCATAAGGTAATGTAAACATCTCAAACCTGCAGCTGATGTGAACCACATTGCCTCGGGAACCCCTAAGCAGGCCAACAAGAACAGTTTGGCCACCCTCACTTGCTGACTTTCTGGTACACGCACACAGCCAGGGCACATGCATGTGTCATTTCCCTATGGCAGCTGCAGCACACTCCAGCAACCTCTATCGGATCCATTATAACGGCTGCAGCCATATGCATCAAGCCCTGCCCAAGATTGCAAAAGAGCATTGATCCCCGGCAAACCCGGACAATGGTGGCAAGAAAAGAAAACCGGAGGTGTGTGTTAATATGTGTGGCAAACAAGTCGACATGGTGCGGACCGAAGCGGTGCGGAAAGGCGGAAAACCTGGAGATGCAAGCGGTAATCATCACGGTCTACCCAACACGAGGTTTCATCTGCCCCGTTGTTAGCGCTAGCTACACGCTCGACTTGCAAAACAATACTATGCTTCTGCATGAATTCCCATATTATTAGTTTGGCATGCAGAGCTGCCGAGCACGAGGAAAGACACCCTAGCACTGCTTGCATGCACATGTTGCCCTCCCTTATTTACACAACACGCCGCTGAACAAACAGGAGAAAGGACTCTAATGCATGATGGACAGCGTGCAACTCCTTCCAACTGATGTGCTCGTAGAGCTCTGGTGCCGACCAGTAACCACACGCCACACGACCATGCAGGACCGCGCCCCATGAATGGCGTGATGCATCCACTGAAAGCTCAACTGCAGCAGGACCCCTGGTGAATAGCCGCCGAGCAGTGGTAGGTAGGGACGTCCACCACCAATCTAAGTCAAGTAACAACCCACGGGACAAGCAAACTCGACCAGACCAGCCAACTGGTTGCTTAATGTCGTCATGAAAATTGCGGGAAATAAAGGAGCTGGGGTAAGGGCCAATTCGACACTCTGCACAAAACCACAAAACTTAGCCAGCTCACGTTTCTGGACAAGACGCCGATTTTTCTTCACCATGATCCGCAACCCGATCGCCAGCCGCCGCATTTTGGTGAGCTTCTGCTTAGGCACTTCAAACACACTAGCTGCCATATTGATCATAATGTGTAAGTGGTACACTGACCGCGACGGCTCCCACTGGCACTTGGTTGGGTGACACGACAACCCCAAGAACTCGATACTCTCATGCACCCAGCACGCACCAAGACCCCTCAGAAATAAACACGAAGAGGAAGTCATCCAAATACGGCAGCACTCACGCACCCGGACGAGAAGGACACCCTGTCCGGGAAACAGGGATAAACTGGTGGGGTGGGAATGGGGGTGAGAGATGCTTGTGACCTTTACCCGATGCAGCCAAAGGATCCTGCCAAAAATGCACCACATTGTGCATGATTTTGGTAAACCAATACGGGCTATTTAGCCATCCCATAGGCAGGGCGTTCATTTCATACAGAACACCACAAAAATGAAAAGTGAAGAAACGCCGATCCGCTGGGCGAATAGGGATGTGGTAAAAGGCATCTGCCAAATCCACCTTCACCATCCAAGAGCCCTCAAGGTGCATATACTGCAGGGTGCGGAGGGGTTCATACTGGCACTTATAAGCTTTCTGCGCTACGTTCATTCTCTTCAGGTTGACGACCAAACACCAAGAACCACTGTCCGGTTTCAGGACACAAAAAGTGTTCACCACATGATCAACCGCATGGGAGGGGTCTACCCACGAGATGGCCCCGAGAGCCACCCGGTGAGGCTCCTACTTCTCCAACCACCAGCGGCTCTGTTCGTCTGTGGCCGAACTTCGTCAGTCCCCGTCCGAGATGGAGGACTTTGTTTTTACTCAGCTGGTAGACTTCTCGCCCACCCGGGCATCCACCTTTAGGGAAGAGTATGCTGCATCTTGCCTGGTGTGCGATATGTTCACATCCGGATCCGATCCCGGGAGTTCCCACCTCCTAGCAATTCGCACCAATGTGACACCAGGCAAAGAGTACTCAGTTGGGAGATGCCAGGGGAGCTGATCCCTCTTACAGAAACACTTGGCAGGTCAAAAGCAGGCAGCGGGCGGTTACCTTGAAACTCCACTGGGACACTGTAGTAGCTGGTACACAGTACGGCTCTACAAATACACGCGTAGTGCAACCACCAGCATCTCGAGAGGCCTTTTCAGCGGCCAGCTACTACATTTGGTATCGAGACCTCGTGAAAATTCACGATCCTGAAGTCGTCGTTTCAAACCCCATCAATCACGCTTGGTGGAATATCGGGTTAGATGACTCAGTGAGCGATTATCCCGAAATTAAAATGTAGCTGAACCGACTGGACTGTCTCTGTGCCTGAAGAACCTGAAGATGGCTATGCGCATGTAAAGTTGGCACATGACGTGACGTGGACTGGGCACCCACTGCCCGAGGGTAGGAGAAGGTAGGCCCAGGCTGGTGGTAAACGAGGCCGAAAGGGCCCGAGACGGATCCCTTCAAAGGAATGTAGTAGCTGGTACACAGTACGGCTCTACAAATACGTGCGTAGCGCGACCACCAGCATCTCGAGAGGCCTTTTCAGCGGCCAGCTACTACAGACACCATGCTTCAAGATGTGCAATGTGTGTGCATCTGCTTCAATTGCCTTCCAAGCGGCCAGCCGTGTCGAGGCCCTAGCATGCAGGGGCACGGAGATGTTGGACATGGTGGACTATTCATGCTGCCCCAGAAAATCCACACCTGGGGTGGTAGAGCCCATCACCACACGGAAGGGATGGGACTAAGCGCACACATAGCCACCACCGGTGTGGGCACACGTCATTTTTCTGATCTGCTGAAGAGCAAACCTTCAGCATCGTGTCCAAACCTCGGGGATGAGCTTGATAAAATGTGTCATCAAGAGGACATTTGCTGTTGTAGCTGCAGGAGCAGGCATGTTGGGTCCAGGGTGGGCGGCAGATGCTGACCCGCTCCAGAGAAAGCATGGGGCATAGACTGCATCGCAGAAGCCCTCGAGGAAATGTCAGTCTGTGACATTCCAGTTAGTTATGTAGTATAGCTGTGAGTTGCCTTCACGAGTGGAGTCATGCCTAGCGATACCGGGACATGCACCACCACTAGCACTATGAAATGTGCTTCAATTAGGTGGGCTAACTCTATGGTGCTAGTGTTTTATGTTCTCCACTGCACCCTACCCGATGGGTCTCACTGACAAGCTGAAGGCACAGCGGTGGACTAACAGAAAGCATGCTGAAGGTGTGGGACCTGTTTTGTTGATCAGCGCGTGCTGAACAACAAAAACAAGATAAGCTGTAGTAGCTGGCCGCTGAAAAGGCCTCTCAAGATGCTGGTGGTCACACTTCATGTGTATTTGTAGAGCCGTACTGTGTACCATCTACTACATTCCCCCCCTTTGAAGGGGTCCGTCTCGGGCCCTTGCGGCCATGTATACCACCAGCCTGGGCCTACCTTCACCTACCCTCGGGCAGTGGGTACCCAGTCCACGTCACATCATGTGTCGCATTTACATGCGCCTAGCCATCTTAAGGTTCTTCAGGCACAGAGACAGTCCAGTCGGTTCAGCTACATTTTTTTCGCGATAATCGCTCACTGAGTCACCTAACCTGATATTTCACCAAGCATGATTGGTGGGAGATGAACTGTAGCAGTCGCTCACCTGACGGGTCGACTGGCTATGCAGAAGTGTAGGGTTGACAGTCCTCACCGAGGCAGGAAGAAGACCAACCCAGCGGCAAGCACTAGCGTACATAGACGCGTAAGAAAACAATCTAGACGGCGGCAGCGGAGTCTTGAACTCCGAACACCTAGTAGTCGTGATACTTCAGTGTCTGGCCAGAGCACCCCGCCTGGGTAGCTTATATCTCGGCCTACCTGCTGGAGATTCCCTACCACGGTCCTGCCATACTAGGATAATATCGGTGGGGCCCGGGGCCCCAGCCCGTTAGGTTCGCTACGAACAACCGCCATGTTCAAGACATGTGACGAAACTCGAACATGTACGAAACTCGAGTCGATCGACTCGATAACGATCGATTCGTTAACGATTCGCGAATCGTTAACGAATTAACAGTTATTGTTAACAGTAATCATTGAAATATTCTAAGGGAAATGTAGCTTACTACATGAACCGACGACTTCAGGATCGTGAATTTTCACAAGGTCTCGATACCAAATGTAGTAGCTGGCCGCTGAAAAGGCCTCTCGAGATGCTGGTGGTCGCACTTTGCGCGTATTTGTAGAGCCGTACTGTGTACCAGCTACTACATAAGCTAACCAGCTTAATAAGCTAACCAGCTCAAGCCGAAGCTCAGCACAGTATACTCGTAATGACCAGAGGGTGTACGAAATGCAGTTTTCGGAATATCTGATTCAGCAATACGGATTTGATTGTACCCCTGCTGTAGGTCAATAGAGCTAAAGAAAGCCGAGCCACGCAGTCTATCCAGTAGATCATCGACCCGTGGGATAGGATAGCGATTTTTAACGGTGGTCGCATTTAGACCCCTATAGTCTATGCACATACGCAGAGTCCCGTCCTTTTTACCCACAAATAAAATGGGAGTAGAATACGGGGATGTGCTGGGTCGAATCATACCTTTCCTCAGTAGGTCGGCTACCTGGCGTGTCACCTCATCCAGCTCCAGGGGGCTGAGGCGATACATGGGGTGCGAAACAGGCTGCACACCAGGAGCCAAAGGTATGGTATGATCTACCGGTCTCATCGGGGGAAGTCCAGGGACCTCACGGAAGATATCTGAGTATTTGTTAAGAAGGGCTTCAACCGCAGGGTCATTTTCAGTGATCTGGGTAACGGCTGTATTCAGTTGCAATTTAGGCCGTACTAGCAATCCATGCGCCCCCTTGTGAATCATATGGATAGCTGCTTTGCGCCCAACGGGTTCAGGCTCAATTCGCTTACAGATAGCGGCAGCAGCAAAATTCACACAGGGTTTGGAGTGTGCAGCACTAGTAATCCCTTCTCCCATCTGTTCCGCAGTGGTGAAAGGTGCCTTATAACACAAGGTTCCCTTCCGCAACTGCAAGGTGTGGGTCTCATAATTCAGGTGAGCCCCATACTGATCAAGGGTAGCGGACCCTAAGATAAACGTGGCTGCATCAGTAAACTTAGGCAGCACATACAGACAGACATTTAGGCGCAAAGGGCCCAAGGATATACAAAGGGAAACTTGACCCAAAATGACCTGCTTACCCCCGTCAGCAAGGGTGACAGATGACCACGATGCTGGTTGAGGTTTCAGTCCGAGTTGCTCAACGATGGATGCAGAAATGAAGTTGTCGCTGGCACCAGAGTCGGCCATGGCAGTTAAAGAATGTCCAGCGACACGAATGCCAATTAACGGGACTCTGGGCCCTGTTGATGCAGCAACTTTTGCACACAGGACTGAAACATGGGGCTCCGTGTCAAGGTGCCCCAGGACAAGAGGGGGATTGTACCAAACGTCAGCAGTATACGGCAGACCTGGAAAGGAAACAAGTTGACCCGTCATGTCTACACCGTTGAAAAGCTTGCTACCAGCATGAAACTGAAGAACCCGACGCATCCCTATCAGCAAGGAGGCAGCCCTCGGGGATACATGTGCTGGTAACAGGAGACAGGCCGCGGTGTCCGGTCGTTGACATTTGCAAATACGATAATGCGCAAGCTGAAACTGAAGTTCTTTGAAAGAGGAAGGGGAAATCCAAACGGTATGCCCACCCAAGTTACTAGAGGTTAGACGCCGTGGAATAGCAAAAAGATTACAGTGCTCGTCAAAACCAGGACGAGCAGTACAAGCGTCAAATGAAAAACGCCATCCAACGGCCTTCTCAACTTGCTTCAATACGGCCGGTAAAACAGCACGGACAGCACGTCCAACCGGGCAGATAACGGGTACCGTTTGGTTTTGTAACCCAGGGAGTGCTTCCCTGACACTGTCCTGGGCAACCCCCTATTTTTCCCCGTTCCTACCTCTCTTCTCTGGAAGCAACGGGCACTCCGCTACTAGGTGCTTGTCCTCCCCACAGCGGAGGCAACGGCTACTCGTACTCTGGCGGTACTCGTACTCCGCCTGAGTGCAGTAAAACTTTGTCATCCACTCGGCCGGATTCGAATCCCAGCCATGCTTGCCTAGCACCGTCGTCCCTGTTCCCGCGGCAGCGGCCCTGGGCCGACCCTTGTCCCTATGCTTGCCACCCCGACCCCTGCACCCACGGTTTGACTCACCAGCACCGGAGGCCTGGCGAGCTGTATTCCGCCCAGCGGCAACAGTAGCAGCCTGGGGCCTGACCTCCAGTGCCGGGAGGTCCCCATCGTCAGTGATGATAGGCACGGGATCCTGCACACAGTTATTTTTTTTTCATTTAGGGGGGGTCTCAATTTATTCCGACCTAAGTAACAAAGTTGCTAGCGTCGCCGTAATGTATTCCTTAAGAGTGGGCGCTGGG